AAGATCTGCCACGCAGGGATCGGAAGGCAGTTCGTGCAAACACAAAAAACACACATGGACTCAGACCCAGGTCCTTGGTCCATAGAACCAGCCCACTCCCCTCTCCAAGCACACAGGGACCAGGACCCATATAGTCTGCCCCACTCCACGGAAAAGAAATCAGCTTATTATAGGTTCCCAGCCTGAGGGAGTAGTCCAGGCTGAACAGGGCTGGGCTCCATCCACGTCCGCAACCTTGACAGTGCCCCTTCCTTCACAGTGGGGACAGTGCACGACACCAGTGCTTAAATCTGCCTGTAAACAGACCTCATGCTTCATTATCCTCCACGTCTGCTCAAACACAATGAGACGGCACTGCCCAGTGACTTGACTGGAAAAAGCACTTTATCTCTGTGGTTTATAAAATGGCTCTAAGAAGCAGCTAGCCAGAGAGCAGATGATAGGTTCAACACAGAGGAAAAGTCACTGAGCAAATGATTAACTCATCAGCTGCAAAGGCCCAGCTGCCATGTTTGAATGTGGTTCTAACAAACTCCTTGTGCTGACCGCAATAGCTCAATGTCACACGTTGGAATCTTGGAATCGTGCTTCTCAATGTCAGACAGAGTTTGTTCAACACTAAACAGGGAACAAAAACCACGAGTTGGCCAGAAAGTAACCAATTTTACTTTCAAGTAACAATATTGGCTGAAAAGATTACTCACTAATTTATATAAAATCCCTGAGTCCCCCTCAAGGTGCTCCTGATGCTCTGCACTCAGGACACATGAGGGTGGAGACCTGCAGGCCCTGCACCCTGGAGCCACACACAGGAGGAGGAGACACCAGCTGAACAAGGCAGCGCACTGGCACCATGATGAGCACGTGCCATAGACAGAAGTGGGGCTGCAGTGGCTCCAGCTGGCAGGGCAGGCAGTGTCCCCGACAAGGCCACGCCTCAGGCAGAGACCAAAGGGCAGAGAAAGGGAACCGACTGGCACAAGACCCAGCAAGTCCACTCCCAGGTAAGAGGCAGGGGTGAGAGGTGACAGGGACGTAGACTTCCTCACTGAGATTTGTACATGAAGGGTTACGGCAGATTTATTTTGTAACGGACAAAAGTCGAAACAAACCCAAGTGCCACCAACTGGTGAACGGATGCACACACTGAAAGGGAAAGGAACTCTACTTAGCAATGAAAGGAAGCGAACCATGGACGCACCCCGTGGACTGAGAATGCCACCCTAGGTTAGCGAAGTCCTCAGCGTGTGTGAGTCCACTCACGTGAAATCCGTGCCTCAAGCCAGGCTCCGGTGGCACATGCCTGTCATCCCGGCAACTCAGGAGGCTAAGGCAGTAGAATCACATGTTCAAAGCCAGCCTCAGCAATTTAGCAAGGCCCTAGGCAACTCGGCAAGACCCTGTCTCTAAAAAATAAAAAAGTGCTGGGGATGTGGCTTGGTGGTTAAGTACCCCCGGAGTTCACTCCCCAGCACCAAAAAAAAAAAGTGAAATTCCATGTCAGCAAAGCTCTGGAGACAGAAAGCGGATCAGCAGCTGCCAGGGCAGTGGGTGGAGAGAGACTGAGAGCAGAGGAACAGGAAGAAACTGTCAGGGCAGTGCAATCACCCTTCGGTGTGAGCTGGGGGTGGTTACACTCCTGCTCACAGAGGGCAACAGAACTCACTGCGCACCAACTGGCAAGTTTCACTGTGTGTAAATCAGACTTCATTAAAGCTGAAAGGAGGAAAAAGAGGAGAGGGGAAGGGGAAAGGAGGGGAGAGAGGAGAAAGGAGAAGTGGAAGAAAAGAAGAGGAGGAGAAAAAGAAGGCCAAGCAAACAACCAAATGGATGGGCAGGCTGGGAGGAATGCCCAGGCCAGAAATCCTCCTTGACCAGGTAGGGCCCAAGCTCAAGTGTGCCCATGACAACTAGAGCCAAACTTACATTTCCCTGGTTCCTGTACAGCTGAGGATCACTGTGTCACTACAAGAAGCCAGTAAGGATACTGAGCAGAAGCCCCAGGAGCAACGTATATGATTGCAAAGGGAGGCAGATGCCCTTCTCCACCCGTGTCTTACCGGACTTCCCTGCCAATAGAGTGAAATGTGATGAAGAGCACTAGGCAGCCAACTTGGACCCTGAGGTTAAAGCCAAGCAGAGAGAAAGAACCAAATCGCTGGCGAAGGGCCAGTACCGGAGACAGCGATAAACCTCTGTCTTGTGAAGCCACTCTTGTTATGGATTTGCTATCATTTTGCAGACCCGTCTAAACCTTACCGTTACCATGCCAGAAATCATGATTCGACTTTGCCTACTGCCAACACAAGACCAGCATTTCAATACTTTTCCTAAAGCCTCTTGCTCACCATCCTATCTCCCCACACAAGACTGCGCTCAAGTCGCCTGGCCAGCACATCGGCCAGCACATCCACCCTGGGCCTGCCTCCCCACTAGAACCCACCTGCCCAGCTTACGTGGCCCTGCTCAGTCCTGCAGCCTGGCTGAGCACAAACCTAGGGCACTTCCATACCCCCAGAGGAGGGCACAGGAGCTGAGACCACTGCCAGGGGAGGCCTTCCAAACCTATAGGGTCGAGGCCCCAAGAGTCATGACAAGAAGCCCAGCTGACACCAAGGGGCAGTGAGGCTGGATCAACACTCAGGACAAGAAGCCTGCAAGGGAGGCACCGAGGAAGGAAGAGATACTCACAGACAATCCACGCTGTCTACTTTCATTAAAACACTTAAGCAGCAAAGCGGTCACGATCCATTCTCAGACACCAGGAGCACACTGGGGCAAAGGACGCAGTGCTCCTGGGGAAACCCCTCTGCTCTGCGTCCTGCACTCCTGCCCTGACAACCCTGGAATTTCCTCTGACAGGCGCACCACGCCAAAGGGCCACCAACATCAAAAGTGTATTTATTAGCAAAGTCGAGATGCAAAACAAAGTATTTAAAACAATGAAAAATTCTAATTTTATTATAGAGATACCACTTAGTTTAGCAGCAAAAAATATATGATAATGTGGAATAAATCTAATAAAGCTGATGAGACTATTGAAAAAAATTTTAAACTGCATTGAAAGGCATTAAAATGGCCTAAAAGGAAACTAATATGCTCATAAAAAAGGGAAACTAAACCTCATAAAGATGCCAACTCTTCCAAACAAATCCAGAGAATCCATGCAATGCCAACCACAAATCAAAGAGACCTCAAACACAGGCACACCTTGGCAATCTGACTCCAAGGCTTGAGTGGAAGAGCAAAGAGCGAGCTGCCCCATCCCCGCCAAGGAGGAGGAAGAGGCATGTGCACCCCACCAATGCCAAGACGTCCCAAAGCCATGTCAGCTAACGGGGTGGGGCATGCAGACCTAAAGCCAGCTGAGTATAGGACAAAACAGAGGCCACAGAAGAAATCTATGTGAATGTGACAAGGACATACAGCAGAAACCATCAACACAGAGAGACAAGCTGGAGTCCACATCTGGTGCTGGAATTGACTCGTCTCATGCACACAGCTGTCAACTACAGATCAATGAAACACAGAGCTGCGAAAGGCAGAACTCCTAGATGGAAAAAAACGGGATGACATCTTTATGACATATGTGCAGGAAAAGGCTTAGCAAAGCAGGTCAGTGACAGGTTCAACCCCAGGGAAAGTAAGAGCTTCCCAGCATCATCTGCCCACAAGAACAAAGTGAGACATGGCCAACACGGAGGAAGGTATCTGCAATAGAAACCTGCAATGAGGGGTCCAGACACACAAAGATCAACTGCCAGCAACAAATTAGGCCAACAACCCAGAAGAAAAATAGGCAAAAACAGAACAATCATTTCCCAGAATAAGAGAACACTTGGAAACATATGGGGAGATGCCTGGCACAATTAGTAACCAGAGAAGAGAAAACCAGGAGCATGATAAGATTATCCAATAGAGAAACACATACTGAGAGGCCTGGCCACATCAAGAGTCATCAAGGGAGCTGGGCACCGTGGCACACACCTGTCATCCCAGCAGCTCAGGAAGCTGAGGCAGGAGGATAACAAGTTCAAAGCCGGCCTCAGCCACTTAATGAAAACCTGTCTCAAAATAAAATTTTTTTTAAAAAAATTGGCTGGGGATGTGCTCCATGGTTAAACACCTCTAGGATCAATCCCTGGTATCAAACAACAAACAAAAGGTCATCCAGGACCTAGAATTCCAGGAACTCCAACACTCTGCAGGTGACTCTGGTGGCAGAGGGCCCCCCCCCCCACTCTGCCAGGAACCATGCTGACACTCTCTTCAAAGTGTAACCGACACACACCCAACCTCACAACTGTGTGCCTCTCAAACGCCTTAGAAAAATCCTTGCCTGTGCACATTTGCATGATGGACAAGAAGGTGCCAGCAATGCTGTTCTAAAAGCACACAATTATAAACAACCACTATGTCTATCAAAAGGAAAAAGGCAAAAGAAAGTGTGGGATATTCAAACAGCAAACATTACCCAACTAGGTACCACAGGTGGGCTGCATCCTACAAACCACCAGAGAAGGGAGCAAGCTGCAGAGTCAGGGCTGCAAAAAGAACACCAAACTCCAAAGGACACCACACTCAGTGACACGCCGCTCTCCTAGGTTGCACCTGTGAAGGAGAATGGATGTCAAGGCCAGGAGAGGGATGAGCACGAAGAAGCAGCCCAACACCTGCAGTCAGAGGCAAGAGCGCAGACACAGTGGTCAACAGCAGCAGGCTCCAGCTCCTAGATTCAGGAGGGGTAAAGAGTTCATACCCATACAGGCATGCCTGTTACACACGTCCTTTTGTATGTGTCACTATTACACAAGAAAGACATCTTAGGAACAATTAGCCATTCCTATCAACAATTGTGCCCACCAGGCCAAATCCCCAGAAACTGGCTGCCCACACGTGCTGATGGGCTAAAGCCCCCCACATGTACCCACTGTCCTGCAAGCAGAGTGAGCATCAAGTCACAGACAGCACAGAGAAACACCCAGCCAGGCTCCTCTTACCTCCGTCACCTTGGGCTGCAGGATCAGTGCTTCTGGGCTCATCCGTGGGATGTCTATGTGGATCTGGAGGTGCAGGAGAAAGACAGGCTTACTTTGGAGGACCACAGACATCACCATCAACATTACATCATGATTAAAGGTGTCGTGCTCAGAGACTCAGCCACCTGGCCTCTTCATCTGCCCTCTGCAAGGGTGTTAGCTTGGCACTGCCGAGTCTTCCCTCTAAGGGTGCTATCCAGAGTTGCTGAGTCCTCCAGAGGGGAGGAAGTCAAAAGCTCATTCCACCTGACCCGGGCACATCCAGTCCAGATGACAGACTTGCCCGACTCCTGCCCAACTCTCATCAGAAGCTGCGTGAGCAGGAACAGAGCAGGCCTCAGCTCTTAAGTAACATGATCCATAGCAATTAGTAAACATTGATTTTCAGTGTCTGACACAGAGTGATTCAAGTGTATCAACAGTGTGCAGACTTCAGCTGCGATAGTCCCTTTCTGGAACCTAGGCCACATTTTCCTCCTCTTCACAAGGTCCTTGGGGAATCTAGGACATTTTCAAGGGAAGCATTTGGAAGTCTCTGCCAGTGTCGGAGTCCTGCCTGGTCACCATCTGACCAAAGTCGCAGCAACATGCCTGACACTGAAGAGGAGGATGCTGCGGGTTCAAGAAGCCACCAGACAGGAACACTTAGCAGAGCTGGTGTCATCGACTGGCTCCAGCATCCCACATCAGCCTCCAGCCATCACTCCTGTCTCGCCAGGGTAAAAGAGGGAAGGCGCGCACGTCCTACACAGAGCAATCCCACTGCTGAGCTGCACTCCAGCCTTCCTGCCCAGGCCCGCAGAGGGTGCCAGCATGCTGGAGCCTGGGCATCACTGACTGGCCTGTGCCCTGCATACACCATTCAGGCTCTAGGTTCTGCCTCTTCCGGTGGGCTGGCTCCACGCCCTTCAGGAGGTGACTGGTAAAGATCAACATCGAGCTGAGAGGCCATGAGTCAGTGACACACAGGAAGAGACGTGTAGACAGCAGCACCGGGAGGGGACAGTCCACACAGAGGAGCAGCTGGCCACACACAGGGCCCAGGTGTGGGCAGAGACAAGGGCCACTAGGCCTGCTGGCGGGGCAGCCCAAGGGCCATCCTCAGTGCATTGCTCCTGGCATGGCAGTCCTGTGGTCATCCCTGGAATGAGCTCCACAGGCTCCTACGGGACAGAAACCAGGTCTGGCCTGCCTCTGCGTGCCCAGGGCCAGCAAGGCCCACCTTCCTGTGGGCCACCAGCAGCAGTGCATACATCAGACCCCATACCCTGCCCATGCTAGAGGAGGGAACCCCACAAAGCAGGTGGACGGGCTGCGTGCGCCCTTCCATCCCCCGCCCACTCCCCACAAGCAAAGGCTGGGCAAGCGGTGGGGGCTGCAGAGCTGAGCAGGGAGGGAGAGGCACACAGGTGGACTTTTCAGTCTGACCAGTGCCAGGTGGCCGTGACACACACTAGCAGACCTTGGACGTGCCAGGCCACCACTTCCTGCTGCCCTGCTGAAGCAGGAAGGCAGGCCATGGCACCCACAGGCTGCAGCACCAAGAGTCACCCGTCATCCGGGCAACAGAGAAGACAGGACAACCTGCCACACCACACAGTGCTGCTCCCTGTCTATTAATGGGGAAAAGTTTGGGGAATTCAAAATAATAAGGGGTCTTTCATTATCTAACACAGTAAATAAGCAACGATGCGTGCGACCAACATTCCCTTCCATGCTCACAACAAACCCGCCTGGTAAGTCCTGCAAGGACAGGCCACTGGCACTCTTTATGATTCTTTTTCTTGAATAAAAATACAATGAAAACATGATCAGAACAATACCAACTTTATCCATTTCCTAAAACCAGGGAAGCTGAAAAATGAACCAGGAATCCCCTGCCCAACACAATCTGTATTCAGTCAGCAACTCAAGAGTCACTGAGTAGAAGCCCAGAGTGGCCAAGAGCGACTAGAATGAGCAGGCAGTGCGGGTGCACAGGAGGGGCTGGTAGTGACTCCCTGCTCGGCCTCCAGGGCCTCACTCTTCAGCCATAGCCCCTCCCCGGCCTCCACCATCCTGTTCATGTGGGGATGCTCCCCAAGAATCCACTCAGCCTTAGAACCTTGACTGAGGCCAGGCCTGTCTTCAAATGGTTCTGATGATCCACACCACACTGGTGAGAGACATGGGTATCACTCTTGTGCCAGGAGAGACACAGCCCAGCTCCACCAGCCAGGAGTGGCCTCAGGGAGACCAGGCCTTGACCACAGGCTCAGACAATGGAACCAACTGAGGACTGCCATTCTGAACTTCCACATTTTACAAAAAGAGTAAGAATTATAAAGTCCTCAAACAGCCATTCTGACAGCAAATTCCAGATGTGCTGTGAATTATAAATCAATGTTAAATGTTTTCCCATGATGCATATCATCCAAGAACTGACTGCACAAAAAAAAATGTAATTATACCCATTTTTTTATCAAACTAAATAGCAAAATGATAAACTGGCTACACTTTTGGATGTGCACTAAACTGTGCACCCCAGCCCCTGCAATTAATATACCTGATTATTTAATATGGCTGATTAATATCTCTCTCATCTGCCCATATCTCACCCTCCAGTACCACAGACAAGGGCCACTAGGCCTACTGGCGGGGCAGTAGCTCCACCCCTGACAGTGGGGTCCCTGTCTGGGCGCCACCTGGATCAGGGCCCAGTATGGCCCTTCAGGAGCAGTCTTACCTCTCAGGCAGCAGCCCACCGAGACACAAAACACCCACCATCACCCTAGGGCAGAGCTGGCAGGCACCACTATCTGGATCAAAGACTCTATTTTATGACTCCAATTAAAAACACCCTTTTTAAAAGGGCTGGGGTGTGGCTCAGAAGCAGACCACCTGCCCAGCATGCAAAGGCCCCAGTGGGTTCAATCCCCAGCACCTTTTTACTTTTGTAGCCAGAGCTGGAGCAAGCAACCCTGCCATCAGAGGAAACTGGCCATTACTGTTTTCAAGAGGCATCTGCTTATTAGAAAACAAACAAACATTCCCCCAGACAGAACGTCACCAGATCCAATGCTTCAAGGGATATGGGGAAGAAGAAAGGAGCTCCCACCTGTCTGTACGTGTCCTGGTGAGCTTCGTCATTCCTGGAGTCATAATAGTGCTCGATGAAAGCAAAATATTCTTTCTGTTTTCTCTGGAGAGTGGCAGGTCTTCGGTCCACATTGGCAGGAAGGTAACCCTGGGTGAGGAAAAGACAAACGTATACAAAAGGTTGCTATCATTGAGGGTCTCGATTAAGTGTGAGTAAAAAGACTCACATCTCAAATGGCCTTGCGCTCTGAACCTGACGCAAAAGGGAGGGACTGTGTGAAGAGCCACAGGCAGAGAGGAAGGCAATACCCTCCGTCCCTGTGAGCCCCAGCCAGTCCGCTAGCCAGGGCCGTGGCCCTGATTCATCCCCAGAGCCAGGGAAGCTCCACACCAGGATGGGCCTGAGCTCTCCTAAAGCAGGGCTGGAGGAGCCATGAGCCCTTCTCCAATGCCTCCGACACCTTGAGGAGCTAGGAGCCTGTGGGGTCTCACGCCCATATCACGCCACACCCGTGCACACACACCCGAGTGTGTGAGGAGCTGGCGCTGCGCAAATTGCACCTACTTTCCAGACTCCTGGGCTCTCAGCAGCTGCAGTCATGATACAAAAATTGGGCTGAACTCAAAATCAGCAAATGCCACGCGGTCCAAGTGGTCACAAGAGCCCTGACTCCAGGGCCAGACTGCTTGGGGTTTGATGTTCTTGGTAGCCTTTTTTCTACATCTTGGATTAACATCATTGACATACAATTTATGAAGTTAAAATGTGCCACATTTTAAATACAGTTCTGTGACTCCTCCTCCGGGCCCTGAGGGTCCCTCGGAGAGCAGCTGGGCCTGCGCGGGGCCTCCCCGGGACCTGGGCCCTGGCTCCTGCTTTCCTCTGAGGCGGGCCTGATGCAGCAGCCTCTTCCTCTGCTGTGCTGAGCGGTGCTCCACTCAGTGGCTATGCCGTGTGCCAGGACAGGTGCCTGCTGACAAGCCTTCAGCCGTTCCCTTCAGGTGCTCCTAGGAGTGAGGTCAGTCCAGGCGTCCTGGACAAGATGACTCACACCACGTTCGTAGATTTCTCATGGCTGAATACCCAGGAGTGGAGGGACTGAGCCATAATGAGATGCATGTTTAGTTTTCTGAGAAGGTGCCAGATCCCTCTCCAAAGAAGCCACACCATTGTAGCTTCTGACCAGCGAAACATGAGAATCCCAAGCGTGCCTCTCGCTGCCGTGCTTGGTGGTGATGGGTGCAGTTCTAACTTCACCTTCTTGGCGACCACCCATAGTGAACCACCTTACCAAAGTCCACTGCTGCCCCCCATGTTTGTCTCCCCGCTGACTCTCATGAGTTCTGTACTCGTTCTATACACCAGTCACCCTTCACATACATGTGTTCTGAGAACACTGCCCAGTCTGTGGCTCATCCTGTCAGATCTCAAACAGAAGCTTTAAATTTTCGTGAAGTCCAGTTGACGATGCTCTCCCGTACAGTCTGTGTTCCCTGTATTCTGTAAGAGGAAGATTTTCCTCTTAATTTTAAACCTTGGCCACCTCCTCTTCTTCGTTCACCGTGACCGGGCTATCGCAGTGAAACTGCTCACTCAGAGCTCATCCGCACCAGCACAAAGCATCCTCAGAGCCAATGCCAGGCTGCACCAGCCCCAAGGAAAACACACCAGCCTTCACAGCATGACTTCACAGAGAAACAGCCACAGAGTGCATGCCACTCTGCACAGACAGCTCATATTACCTGCTGAACATCTCCTGGTGCCTTATTCACACAGTGTGACAATGCTCTAGGAACCACATTTCCCTGTTTACCACCCGCACGTTCGGGTGGGAATCCAGTTCCATCAAGACAGGTCTGGGCTGGAATGAACTACACAGCTTCACCAATCCACTGGCCATAGTGACAGAGAGACTCAGAGGTAGAGAGGTGACCTAACACAGGTATAATAGCCAATCCCAGGCTATTTACTGCTACTCTGAGTCCAAGTGAATGTGCACAGTCTGGAGCTGTGGCAGCCTCCCTGCGATCACAAGGAAAACCATGAGCTGTGGGTCCACCAAGAAAAGCTGACCTGAAGGACAACAGAACACAGAATTGCCAGGCTTTGATGATAATAAGGCCAGAGCTAGAATCCAGCCACATCTCTTGGATTATGTAAGGTCACATTCCTTTCAGGTTCCTTAGGCCTTTCCCCCAGCATCTTTTCTGTATCATGAACTAGATACTCACACACACTTGTTTTAACAACAGCTGGGTCGCACCACTCAAACTTGTTTCTATTAAAATACAACCGTGCGGTGCTTAACAGAGATACTCCACACAAGGTGTTTTTCAAATATGTATCTCATGGAAAGTGCGTTGTTAGGTGATTTGTCCCAGTGCACACATCACAGCATGTGCCTGCACAAACTGACATGCTTCCATGGCTCCAGGGAACTTGAGTTCACAAAACCACTGTCCTCTACATAGTCCACTGTGGGCCAGAACACTGTTCCCTGACCCAGGAGTATACCACACACAATTACAAACATGCACAAATCACCACCACTAAGTGCACCTGCGCGATGCCCCCAGGTAAAAGCCAGGCCGCTGCCCTGCCAGCACCCCAGAGCCTCCCACTCGCTGCCTGTCTGCTCCTCACATGGAGAACACTGTTTCTGCCTGGCTGTTTCTTCTCAGTTAGGTTTAAAAGCCTGAGGCAGCTGTGAGAGGAACCAGTGCACATCTTCGCACTACTGTTGCCACCACCCTGGGGACTAAACCCAGTGATGTTAGCGAACGCTGGAGGATTTCCAGTTCTTGCTGGCACAGGCTCATGCCCGTCTTTCACGGCGCAGACCATGCACTTTTATTGAGTACGCAGCTGGGAGCAGAACTATGAGGTTTGCACACCTCTGAAGGGTCACACTCCCCTCAGAAATGTGGGATTTCCCACTGTCCCATGTCCCTGCCAGCGCCTGGGGTTGCCCAGCTTTCTCACATGAGCCGCTGTGGCGGTCTGCAGCCATCTCTATTAGCAGGCAGAGTGAACCTGCACTTCCCAGAGGACTGGTGTGGCTGGCCTGTGCAGTGCATGGACAGGTGCAGTCCCCTTCCTGCTGGGCCACCGCTTCTTTTGGCTCTCTAGGCCCTGGTCCCAGTCTGCAGGCGAGCCCTGCAGAAAGCGTCCTCTCCCCCTCCCTGTGGTGTGCCTTTCACCCTGTCCTCAGTGACGTCTTCTGATGAAGAAAGTTCCTCGGGCTAACGACGCTCAATTTATTAATCTTTACGATTAGTCCTTTTCATGTCCACTGCAGGAAAATTTCCTTTTACCAAACCAACACTCCTGGCTCACAGAGTTCACTTTAAAATCAGGGTGGCTTTTCCACAACAGGGCCGGCCACCACAGCCCACTACTTCTATACATGAGACACTAAAGGGACACTGTGCATGGCAGCTATTCTGCTGCAGTGACAGTGATGCAAGCTGTGGGCGGGCCCCCTGACCCAGGCTGAGACAGCAAGACCACCCTGCTCCAAGACAGTAACCCCACAGCCCGGCCCAGGCCAGGCTCAAATCTCGCTCATTACTTCCAGCAGTCCAGTGTCCACATCAGCAACGCTGTCTCCTGAGAACACTCCTGCAAGCAAATTGGCACTCAAAGGGCTATGGGTGCCCTCAAGGTTCTTGATGCACTGTTCCCACGGAGCCCTGCTGCAGGTTGTGGTGATGGCACAGCAGGACAGCCCGGCACCAAGGAAGCTCCCCTAGGCCATAGAGGGGAGTGCTCTATACCCTCACCTGGGGAGGCGCAAGCCCTCCCACCTGGCAGCTCTGTGCTGACAGAGAGGGGTCAGCAGCACCACAAAGAGTGCAGTGCGTCACAACAGCGCCAGGACAGCATCTACACCAGCCGCCCAAGTATCACCCACTGGTCCCCACAGTCCTGGGCATGCAGAGCCCCTGGGCAGTGCCCTGACCTGCCCAGCACAGCCCTGCCCCATGGAAGGGCCCCAAATGGTGAGGGTGGGGCATTGGCAGAGCTGGTGGCAGATGCTCCTTTGTAATGTCACAGATGGCAGTCCTGGGCCTCAGCCTTCACCCACAGCCATCTTCCCCTCACGCTATTTCAGGTCTGCAGCCTCTCTCTGAGAGCAACAGTTACCTAAGACCCCTGCTCCCTGCCTGTACCACAAGGCCACAGCTAACTAAGGGGCGCCTGGCCACATGGCGCGACTCAGTCCTCCTTCAGTCCTTCTCAGGTAGAAGGTCATCCCCACTCCTCTCAGCTTAGGAGGCCACATGAACAGGCCAGAGCCCAGCCCCTGTGCTCAGCTAGGGTCGCCTGTGGGGCAAGTCATAGGCCACCGGGTAGTTATGGGGAGTGGGGTGCAGATGATCCACAGAGGATGTGAGCAAACACTCTGAGAACCACTTCCTGTGCCCCAAATTCTAACTTGACTTCGAAAACACAGATTCTGAAAGGCAAGTGCATTATCATGAGAGCACAGGCAACAAACTCCACATCCTCCTGACAGCCCATTCCTGAAGGAACATACATGAGCAAGTTGAGCCTCTCCATAATTAAGGCAGACTAGAAATTATGCAAATGAAATATATTTGAGTATGCAATGAATTCTAAATGACAGAACTACAGAAAACTTAATTGCTGTATTACCATGCTATAAAAACACTAATCATAAATGTAAAACAATGCATGCACACACTTATATCCTAAATTGTTCCAGGGACACAAAAATCCACTTGTCCCCTCCCACCATGTCCATGTGCAAACCTGCCTCAACATACAGAAAGGAGGTAAGATGACATGGAGCTGCACTTGTCATTTATAACTATCACACTCAATAGTATAAATGTTAAATGCTTAATTACTTTTCTGTTAAATGTTTCTGAAACATTTAAAAAGAGAAAAAATATGATTCTCTACAGCACTAGTGTGTGAAAAGGTGCTACACTGCTTGCATGGGATTCAAACACTAAACAGCATGACTGAAGCTTTGGAGATTCAGTGGCATGCTCCAGACAGAGCACACCTGTGACTTCCTTAAAAATACAGAAGCCATGCATTCTCTGCTGAAGCCACATTTCCATTGATTCAATAAAACTGCGCTCCTCCATGAATACCAGGATGGTGCTAATGACCAAGGCAGACATGATGAGCAAAGGTCATTCGTATGTCAGGCCTCGAAGGAGGTCATAGTCCAATACAGCTTTGGTCCCCTACCTTTCTGAAGTGGACATATGTAACTTCTTCATGATTCTTCTTGACTCCATGTGCCCCTTCAGCTCTAAGTCCTGGCAGGACTGAGTGCTTGGGGTTGACCGCTGCCACCTGGGCATGCAGAGCCTCTGGCCAGTGCCCTGGCCCTCCCAGCACAGCCCTGTCCCATGGAAGGGCCCCATGGAAGAGCAGGACTGAGTGCTTGGGATTGACCGATGCCACCCCACCCACTCAATGGCCATCCAGACAACCTGCGCAGGGCTCCCAGCCAGTCTCACTCACCTACCCCTGCTCCCCCAAACACTCCTGCACCGCCCAGCCTGGCCCTCAGCCAGGCATCACAGACCTAGTGTATGCTGTCCTCAGTGGGGCCACGTGGCTTACAGAGCCCAGCTCTCAGCCAGCTCATGCGCTCTGGTCCTGTCTTCCTCGGTGGAGTCTGGGTGCCTGGAACAGTGGTCTCTAACCCTGGACACGTGAGCAGCCCTGGGAGCCTAGGTATCAGTGTTTCCTATGCTCCTAGGTAATACTGACATGCAAACAGAATAGAAGAACCACAGGTCAAGAACCTACCAAGTTCTCCCAGACCTGACGCTTGCCCACTCTGGGGCAGGTGCACTGCAGACACCTAGCTCACAGCACGCAGGAGTTGGTGCATACCTGACACCTGGACCTAACCCAGATTCCACTGTTTCATAACCCAGATGACAGGGTCTATGACAGCTCCCAGGGAAACAGGAAGCTAGGCTGAATCCTTGGGATTCAGGGAATGACCAAGAGACAGATTGCCTGGGAAAGACCCATTCTCTAGACTTCTACAGATTCGATTTGTTTGCTAGGTTCTCCCCCCAGAACTCTCCAAAATATCCTTGTGATCCCAAATCTGCAAGAGCCCTTTCAGGCAGATATGTGAGAGCCGCTTGCTAAATCAGGAGTAACTAACATCGTTCACAGGCCCCAAATGGTGCTTAGTCTGACTGTGCCTATGGGAAGGTCAGAGGAGGTTCCTGATCAACACTGCAACAGTTCTGATCCCCTCCACCTGCCCAATGCCACAGCTAACAAGCACCCCTCAGCCACAGGGTGGGCTCCCTTCCAGGGCACCTGAATCCAGGCAGCACACTGCACCTGGGACTCATTCTCAGCAGAGGCACAACCAACACACTGGGCCTCTTGTTCCATTCTGTTAAGACCACAACTGAGGCCTTCAGCTACTCGACTCCCTTCTCAGCCCTCCTCAGTGGACCTGTCCGAACTCTAACCCCTCCCAAGACCCAGTAGGGAGCAGCCTCCCCTTGCCCCCAACACAGCTCCCCGCTGCCACACACTAGTCCAGACTGCGTGGTGAGGGCATCACCTGCTCAGGGCCCAGGGGACTGTATTCTGTTTCTGTGGGAGCCCATGTGTGTCTAGTCTGGCATGCATTGAGCACTCAATAAAGGAATAAAGGAGCAGATGCAGGTCGAGCAGTGTGCTACGGACACAGAAATAGGTCCTGCAGGAAGGGACACCCTTCTGTGCAGGAAGACTTTGGGCCAGCCTGAGGAACAAAATGGTGGCACTCCTGCTCTGCTCTACAGGCCCCAGGGCAGCCAGGACTTGATCTTTTTCCCTCCTGATGTTCCCCAGCACCCAACCCAGTTCCCGGACATCCAGACCTCAGCAAATCTCCATCAAACGACTGGATGAATCAATGAAAGGATATTCCAAGGCTTCACCTTCCAGAAACAGCCTCATTACTCCGGGCTCAAATCCTTCAGGATGAAGCCCAGGCAACCTTCAGGATTTGGGGGACAATGATGCACTTCGCCTCCTCTAAGTTCCACTATCCTGGATCCCATCACCTTGCCTCCTGCTGGTACCTGAACTGGGCAGCTTGCCTCAGCCTTCGCTGTCCACCTAACCACACCCCTAAGTCTCATGAGCTCCCTGTCTCCCTCACCCAAGCCACACTGGCATGCCTCTGAGATGCCACATAGGCACCCCACTGTCCCAGAAGCCTTGCCTACATTCTTGAGAGCCTGTGCTCCTCTAGAACCATGCCCCTTCCCAACCTGACACCTACCTTGTTCTCAGCTGTCACTTCAGGCCCAAAAGAGGCCTGAGAACTATCCTGTCCATCTCTGTCCCTTCTGCCAATGAGTCTTCCCTCCCTGCACATTTCTGCAAACCTGCAGTGGCCTCAGAGCTTGCGCTGTGATGTCTCCTTGCCCAGGAGGCTGGCCCTACGCACTCACACTGACCCACCACCGGATCCCCTGCTCTTGACAGTCACTTGAGTCCTACACATCCAACAACCCGTCACCCCAGGCTGCACTGGATCTGCCCCACCACGAGGGTGCACCCCGACTTTCTCCTAGTGGAAGCTGTGTCCGAATCAGTGACAGTTAAGTAGCTGTGCCTACGAAAACCTAGGTTTTCTTTGGTCTACACTGCCCAGATTTCCGTGGACATACCCCCACATCTACTGCCCTCCCACACCCACTGACAGGGTGCGACCACCGACATCTGCTGCTGCTGCTCCTCTGCCGACTGATGCCCAGTGCACAGCTCAAAGTATCAGGGAATCAAACCACAACCCGCACAGAGCTAAAGGACAATGCAGTATACAACAACTCCCATGACACCCCCCAGGGAGCATGTCCTTGATAAACACTAAGTGGCAATAAGGATGTTCAAGGTGGTTTCATAAGAACTTGCCACAAACTAATCTGAAGAGCTGATAACCTCTCTTGGAAGGTATTTGGAAAACTGGATATACACCTTCAAATAAAAAAGACAAAACAAAAATATAAGCAATCACAGCAGGTCTAATTTTAATTGCAAGAGAATATTTAATCAATAAATATTCACTGTTCAGAGCTGCATCTGCATTTAGGATTATGAGGTACTAAGCTGCAAATTTATTAAGACTCATTAGCAAGAAAGAGTCTTTTAAACACTGAAAGTCAGACCCAATTTAGAGTAGACACTTAGAGTTCCCTACTGACTTATCTCCAAAAACAATAAAAAAGGAAAACAGAAGGAAGCTGATTGGAAACTGCTCTGAAGCTCTGGGCAGGGCCCCGCACACACCGACTTGCTGCCTTGAGCCGGAGAAGGACGAGCAGTCCGACTGTTGCAGAAGGGCCTCAGCTCGGGCACCATGGAGCCAGCTGAGGGTGGGACACCAGTCTTCGCTCCAGAACATGAACTCCTCCTAACATCGGCTTGGAGTTGGGGTGGGGGGGGGGGGCTAATAGCATTACTAACACTTAAAAGGAAACACTCGGGGAAACCCACTGCTGTTTAGAGTTCTCAGAGCTGAATCATCTGCACCACAGATGATTCGCCACATCGCATGATGGAGCAGATGATGATGAATTTTTACAAAATGAAAATCAGAGAAAAGACATACTGCCATTCCCTCCTCGCGTCCTGCCAGCCTGGTCAACTCAACCTTCAGATTGGGCAAGGGCTGGACAATACCACCTAGCAGAGCAAAGCCCTATGCCATGTACAGCTGCAGCAGGCCTGTGGTGGACACGTGAGGGCCATGCTTCGGCCAGCTGGGCAGTGTGCCTCGGGAGGAGACGAAGTGGCTGAGCAGGCGGGCGGCAGAGACTTACTGAGAGAAGCTTCCACGTAATTGGACGAACTGGCTTAGGGATTCCGGACCAGCTCAGCTTCCGTAATTCCTCTGTTGACAAAAAAAAAGGAACAAGGAAAAACAGGGTTTACAAAGGGTCAAGACCTCCCCGTGCTTAACTATCCCACCTGTGTGCACAGGGCAGGGAGCCCGGAACCGGAGCAGGAGCAGCCCTGGGAGGGAGGAGCTCAGGGCACTGCTGTTCTCGACATGCCAGAGCAAGGGTGTCACCACTGTTCTTGGTCACACACACACGCCACTTTTATGCACTCATGTCCTGAAGAGGATGTGTTTGCAAGTCACACCTGAGCATCCCTGGAGCTGCCCTGGACAGGACAGGCCCGTCCTCCCACTGTATGGTCATTGAAGACCTGCACACCAGCCTCCTACCTCTACTCGCCCCCTTCCCCAGCCCCACCTCACCCCAAGCTGATCCCCTTAGAGGGCTCCCTGTCTCCTCTCCCTGCCCTGTAGCACCCCACCTCTCACTTTTAGGCACCTGCACACAGTGGCTTTCTTAGTATGGTTTTGATAGAATTTGCTTCTTGGAGATAAGCTTGCTTTCGCATAGCATTAAAAAGGCATAGCCATACTGTACACAGCCAGGACAGACTGACCCTCACCAGAGACGCTTCTACAACACTCACAGATGAGGAGAGTCAGGAGCAGGAGTGGGGCCAGAGTCAGGCCAGAAACAGGGGCCTCAGCCAGGACAGAGCACTCAGGGCCACAGGTGAGGGCAACAGACATGCCAGTTCTGCATCCACATGATGCCCCTTTCACATGCCCTGAACAGCCAGAGCAGGGGGTCAATGTGCAGGTGATTCACACCTGTCCAACTCCACAGAGTCCAACACAATTGCTTCCTCCATTTAAGTTAGCAATATTCCATTAAGGTCTTCTCCTAACAGCTCAGAGCTAGGGATTAACACTAGTAATAAAAGAATCGATTACAGAAGATTTGGGCAATATAATCAACAAAATACAACGTCCTGGCATCTCATCTTTTCCCAATTACTAAAGTCTAAGTAAAGTAGGTACCAAATAATTGGGTGGCAGTTCCAGCAATGACGTGCATTCACAGCAATCTCAGAAAATACCAAATCTTCCCCTATTCACTAAGGACACTATGAAAAACAGGAGCCTAATATCTGAACACCAATAACATAGTGTTTACCAATCATGTTCCCAGTGCCTCTCCCTTTGCACAGCCCTGGTTGTCTGATTGTGGATTATGAAGAAAGCACAGAGAACTCATTTATTAATGTTCTCTGAATCTGTCGCCTCATTAGAAGCAACTCTCAAGAAGCCAAAATCTTGAATATACAGCATGAAACGAAGTTCTAACTTGGTTGAAGCTTTAATGTTTAAAGAGAGGTGTCACATATATTATCTTATTCAATCCTAGAGCAGCCTGAGTTACCTAGCGCTGTGCACCACTGTAGTAGCCTCAGAGAGGTTAAGTGACTTGACCAAGGGCACACAGGAACTAAGTCACCTTCAATACCAGGATCTTTCCACTGCTTTAACTCCCATTCTTAAAAAGACTTTGTAACACAGACAAACCTCACTTGTGAATACGGATAAAAAGATCAAAATAAAAATCTTAGCAGATCAAAACACAGCAGGCTATCCAAAGAATAATACACATAGGCAGGATTTACTCTAAGAATGAAGGTGGTTCAACATAAGAAGTCCTGCTGCTTCACCTGGGAGCTGAAGCTGCCTGATGGGGAAAGTCGTCATTTCTAACTGGATACCCGTGACTTCCAGCCAGGGGCCACTCACCACCTTCCTAGAAGAACACCAGCTGTGCAGTGACCACTACTCCCCCCACCCAGGACAAGCTGAGCCCACCCAACCCTGCTCCAAAGGTGCCCCTGATTAGCACCTGCTGTGGCGCCAAGCCACCCTCAGCAGGGGCAGATTCCACGATGGCCTGGCACCCCATCCAAGCCCTGGGCAGAAGGTATTTTCACCAGGGGCTTCCAAGGAAGCTTCCCTTGCCCTTGGCAAGTCTCTGGAAGCAACCCCTCTGCCTTCCTCTGAAAGCTGCTGGGCTCAGACTAAGGCCCAGGACTGCTGCAACAGCTAGGACCTGATCAGCCTGAGGACAAGGCCAACAAAGAGAAGGAGGCAGAACCTCGAGAAGCCAAGATGTAGAAGTCTGAGTTCAGTAGGTGCCAGACACAAGGAATTTCCCAAGTTGACAGCTTTCCTCTGTGGGCAGCAGGAGAAATGGAAGTGTCATGGGCATGAGCTTGACAGAACCACACAGGCCCTTGTGAAAAAACAGGAGTTAGGGAAGCTGGCACCGACACCCATGAGAGACACAGCTCTGAGTCAAGCAAAGGTTTTTGACACAGAATATCTGCCAGACTGCCCTCTGCAAGGTGCAGCAGCCTAAGACCTAACAACACCAGGCCTCACGCAGAGTCACACACGGGGACATCGCCAGGCTCAGGGAGATGGAGCATTTGCAGCACACAGGCCCTGGGCCAGAGGAGCACCAGGTGACACCTAACTCGGCCCGCAGCCTGGGAGGCCTTATGCTGGGCAGCCTGTGCTCAGAGCTCACCTTCTTCCCCAGGACGGAGCAAGTGTGAGCTCAGAACCACACGACTGCCAGAAGAACGGGCAGAGGAGGTGGTACGTGGGCCATTGCACATGGTCAGGAAGGTCAGGAGGTCTCTCTGCAGAAACGGCAACTAGACAAGACCTGCAGTCCACAGCGGTCTCCTTGAGAAGCCCAATGTAGAGGGCAGCAGTACAAGAAAGATGGAGGCCAAGACATTCAGGGCAAAAAGCAAGACAACTCACAGGAGGCCGGACAGGCAGGCGGCTCGAAGGCTACAAACCAGAACGTAACCAACGGTCTGTGCCAAGCCAGTTCACACTCCAATGGGACTCGCTGCACGTATTCTGAAACTTGACAAGTGTATCCCAAGTTCACCAAGCAGAATAGGGACATGAAAACATCCAATAAAGTTCCCAAAAAGAGGAAAGAGAGCAGCCTTGAGTAGCAGATAAAGGACTCTGTGGCAGAGCTACAGCAACTATAACTACAGGACTCTGGGAGAAGCCAAGGAAGCTGCATGAACGTTCAAAACCATACCTACACATGCAGGAGCACCGGATGCCATTCAAAGGGTACCTCGAGTCAGGGGGCACCGACCAATGGTCTTCCACCAAGATGGATTTGTTTTCAGAAACGATACTGGGTCACTAATCCTACCAAACAAAAACTGATTTCTAAATGATTACTGTATTCCACTGCATAATTGCTGCATATTTGATGCTAAATATTTTTGCAAAAGAGGTGGGGTGCAACCATTATGCGAAGCATACTTTCTTTTTAATGTTTATTTATTTATTTTTAGTTCTCAGCGGACACAACATCTTTGTTGGTATGTGGTGCTGAGTATCGAACCCGGGCCGCACGCATGCCAGGCGAGCGCGCTACCGCTTGAGCCACATCCCCAGCCCAAGCATATTTTTTTTTAAAGTGCCAGTATTACTTAAAAATCACGAAATACTAACCTGTCTTTTGAGCAAGGCTAGGATGCGTGCAATACCTGTGACTACACATTAATGAATGGCAATGATGATGTGGGGCAACAGGGTAAAACCCTAAATAGGCCCATGTGGAGGGCCACGTCTGTGTAAAGGAAGATAACAATACTAGAAGAAAATGTGAGTGATCTTGCCACCCCCAGGCAGGAAACGCACTCCCAGGCAAGACACAAATCTCACAATCTATGAAGAGATTCTCAAACTAAGGATATAAAAGTTCAAAAGTGACTGTACAGCAAGACACTACAGTGTTAAAACAACAAATGACAAGTTTGAAACATTCAAGCAGCGTATAAAAAGTCAAAAAGCACTTACAAAGAGCACATGTTAAATAAAAAAAAAAGCCCCTACAAAAAGGAAAGGAAATGGAAATGACGAAAGAGCATAACAAGAAAAAGACACTGTCCTTGATGGTGACCAAAGAACCACAAATTCAAACAAGAAATCTGTCAGACATAAATTGGTAAGACTGTAAGTGACAACACCCATCACCGACAGCACCCTGGGTCAACAGCCACTCTTTTACAGGCAGTGTCTACACTGGTAGGCCAGTTGTGTTGGTCAACTCTTGAAGGTCTATAATCTTTGAGCAGCACCTTTACTCCAAGACGCCTACTCTACAGGGACATTTCCTAGAGTATGCAAGGACTATACCCAAGGATGTCACTTGAGCAATGTCATGCTGACAGCATTAGAAGCAGCATTAGCAGGGATGCGACTGAAATCCTATTATATCCAAAGCCTGGAATACAGTATTGCCATAGAAAAGAAAGGTATTTTTCGCATGGGTATAGAATAAATGCATCTAATTACAAAGTAAAAGGAGAATAATTGAGAAAAGTGAGCAGAAGCACTGAGAGTTTCTGCAGCACCACTCGCCTCAGAGAGGATCAAGGAAGGGAGTCAAGGCCAGGAAGACTCCCCTGCACCGGGCGCTCTCCCCTATCTCTACAAAACTATGAACTTCCCGCAGCAGGGAAGTTCTACCCCTCTTCACCAGGTTCTCAGTCTCCAGCGTTCTGGGCCCAGGCTCAATCCTAGCTGATCTACGGCACTGATGGTTCCTGCCCTCCCCCCTCTCCCATGGAACTGACCCCTGCCACCTGCAGGGCTGTGTCCTGAGCGGGGGCTCGTCTCCTGAGGCACAGCAGGAGCTCCTGGAGATCAGAGTCCATGCTTCTGCTGCCCTCCACCCTGACAAGCTCCCTTGGGACTGCTCCATAGTAGGAGCCAGGAGAGAAAGGCCAATGGTCCCCTGCCTGTGGGAGGCAGGTGGGCTGTGGCTGGCTGGGGGAGCTGTTGACATGTTAAACTGAAGTATAATCTGCATACAATAGAAATACTAAAGTCACCCTGTCCACTGGAATATTCCTAACTGCCTTTCTAGTGACCCCTGCTCCCACCCTGAGCTAACCACTTTCTGGCCCCCGTTGACACAAGTCAGCTTGCCTGCTCTCCTGACTCATGCAGGGTAAGTC